TTTTTTTTTTTTGTTTGTTTGGTCGTGGGGCTTGAACTCTGGGCTTGGGTGCTGTTCCTGCACTCTTCTGCTCAAGGCGAGCACTATACTGCTTGAGCCACAGCGCACCACTTCCATTTTCTAGTGGTTTATTGGAGATAAGAGTCTCACCAACTTTCCTGCCCAGGCTGGCTTTGAACTGCGACCCTCAGATCTCAGCCTCCTGAGAAGCTGAGCACTTGCATAGGATTACAGGCGTGAGCCACCGGTGCCCCGCTCTTCCTTCCTTCCTTCCTTCCTTCCTTCCTTCCTTCCTTCCTTCCTTCCTTCCTTTTTTCTCCTTCTCTTTCCTTCTTTCTGGTCCTGGGGCTTAAACTCTAGCCTGGGTGCTGTCCCTAAGCTTTTGCTCAAGGCTAAAACTCTACCATTTGAGCCATAGCACCACTTCCAGCCTTTTCTGAGTACTTTATTGGAGATAAGAGTCTCATAAACTTTCCTGCCCAGGCTGGCTTTGAACCATGATCCTCAGAGCTCAGCCTCCTGAGTAGCTATGATTACAGGCTTGAGCCACTGGCACTCAGCTTAAGTTTTCTTTCTATATAATATTTTTCATCCAAAATTGTGAGGAGAAAATGGAGTTTGACTAATAGCCCCAAGAAAGGTCATGACAATTTATCCTCCAATAACAGAAGACTGCCCACAATATCTCCTGAACTACGTGTATACCTTCTCATTTTTGCTTTAAAAGAAAATCCTCACGATGAGCCCTGGTGGCTCATGCCTATAATCCCAGGTACTCAGGAGGCTGAGATCTAAGGATCAAGATTTAAAACCACCCAGAGAAGGAAAGACCATGAGACTCTTATATCCCATTAAACAGCAAAAAAGCAGACTGGAGGTGTGGCTCAAGAGGTAGAGTGCCAGCTTTGAGTGAAAAAGCCAAATGAGAGTAAAAGATACCAAGTTCAAGTCCCAGTAGCAGCACAAAAAAAAAACTTATAATAGGTAGATAGATAGATAGACAGATGGATAGATAAAATAGTATCCCATCATTTTGTTTCAAAGCTATTTTTTAGGGCTGAGAAAGCAGCTTAGTGGTAGAGCACTTGCCTAGCATGTGCAAGGCCCTGGATTTGAATCCAGCCCCAGGTTAAACAAAACAAAAAACTAGTTCCTAATGATAAGTGATATCATTGCTTTGTCTAGAGTTATATGCTGCTCACTCATGTACATTATCCATTTTTGTAAATATGTATCTTTTATCTATTTGTGCTTTTTCCTAAAGAAATTGGCCATGTGTCACAAATATTGTTTCTCCCTGAGTTGCTTGACTTGCATACAGTATTTTCCCATAGCTACTTTTTTTCCCTTTATGTCAGTGTGTGTGTGTGATACTGCAGGTTAAACCAAGAGCATTGTGCATGCCAGACTACTGAGCTTCACTCCATCTCAGTAGACCTGAAACACACCTTGATTGTATTCAGAATTCTCATGTGCATTTGGACCTTTGCAACTCAGTTCCATCCCAGACGACACCAGCAAATGTCCTCTAACTCAGCTCCATTCCAAAATTGTCTACCTGGAAATGGCGTTACCTCCCACAGGTGGAGCTTCCTCCCTCAAGATCACTTCCACTTCTGATGTTCATCAAAAATCCTCAGGTAGTCTTGTCTGAAGTTCTGGCCGTTGGCCATAAACCATTACTGCTACAACCCCTCCTTTGGTTCATTTTTATTTTTTTCAGTCACAGGGCTTGAACTTGGGGCCTGGACACTGTTGAACTCTTTTGCTTAAGGCTAGCTCTCTAGCACTTTGAGCCATAGTTCCATTGCTGGTTTTCTGGTAGTTAATTGGAGATGAGGGTCACATGGTCTATCCTGCCTAGTCTGGCTTTGAACTGGGATCCTCAGATCTTAGATTACTGAGGTAAATGAAGCCCAGCTTTAATTATTTTTTTAAATTTTTTGTGTGTGTGTATAAAAGAGAGAAAAGAGAGAGGGAAAGAGAAAGAGAGATAGAGAGAGAGGGAGGGAGGGAGAGGGGAGAGAGAGAGTGTGTCCTGGGGCTTGAACTCAGGGTCTGGATGTGGTCCCTTTCTTTTTCCCTAAAGGTTGGTGTTCTACCACTTGAGCAATAGCTCTACTTCTAGCTTTTTGGTGGTTA